ATGAGCCTTACAACTATTCCTGGCACAATGGCTTTGCATCAGATTGTTTTGGATTGTAAGAACGAAAAGCGATTGAACATAAGGCAATTCTCTTGTCTAATTTGCAGAAACAAACTCGAATGCACTCACTATCCTAAAGGAAGCACCATCTTTGATCAGCAAATCGAACAAAAAGCGCCCAACTCGGAAAACGCAGCAGTGAAGGTAAATAAGCCTGCAGCCATTAAAAAGAAAGCACAGTCCAAATCGGAGGCAACCAAAGAAAATTCAGACAGTAATTTGAAGACATTGCACGATGTAGATGAACGAGAATTAAAAGTTGACACTTATGTTTCTGTTATTTTTGATGAGGAGTGGTATCCTGGTCGAATAAATAGTGTAGACTTAGCCGTAAAAAAAGCTAAAATTTCTTTCATGCGTCGCTCCGGTGGATTTTTCCTCTGGCCATCAACAGCAGATATCCATGTTGTTAACTTTGATGGCATTCTAACTATCCTTAAACCACCCACAAAGTGTTCCTCAAGACTTTATGTGTTTGAAAACGTAGACTTAGTTGATAAACTGTCAACATCCTATCTACGTGATTTGTAACTAGTCATACGAATGATCTCAAGTTAAATCATGAGTAGTTACCCAGCCTCATAACTTGCCTTAAAGTCTTCAAGACATTTACCTCATTTATTTTCGCCAAGTGCCTAGCTCTTAGAGGTTTGTAGTGTAGTGAAACCAAGGGGATAAGGATTTAAATCCTGGATACTGTTTCCTCTTGCTTTCTTACCAAAAAACCTAACAAATTTTTTTTGATTTTTTTCATTTTTCTATTAATTTGTTTCTTAATTTTTTTCTTATTCCTTTCGATACGAAAGTTTTTCATTTCATATATAATGTCTTTACTAAAAATGTTTTTTTCTTTTACATGTTTATTTAGTTTATAGTAATTCGCTACCACACGGTGCAATTTTATTTTTTTACTTTCCTAAGTTTATTTTTGACTTATTCTCTAATATGAAGCTCTCGTTTTATTTCAAATTTTTCTAACAAAAGTCCAGCCTTAAGCTCAGTATTATAGTAGAATAGCGCATTATTTAAGACAAACTATTTCATTCTTTAGAATTTTAAGCCTTCAGTTTAAAGGACAATTTTTCAGAACTCTAATCTTCTTTAGAATTTTTTTTTTTTTAGTTATAAGTTTTTGCATTCCTCTTTTAGTTACTAAGTGTTCGTGTTCCTCTTTTTTGAAAAATGTGCTCTCTCAACATTTTTGTTTGGAATGAATGGTGCATTCCAGTTATTATGTTTTTTTTGTAAATAAAATTTTTCGTTCCAGTACTTTCTCTTCACGATTTTAGTCTAAAAAGTTTGCACTTTAAAACTGCAAACTCAAGTCCGTCACAACATGTTCAAGTCCATAACGTGAATTT